ACTTTTGCAATGATAGATGTTAAGCTAACTAGCCTTTACTTATCTGAAGCATGAAGGAGCATTTTACAATGACAGTTTTTCAATTCTGTGTGACAGTTCCAGAATTGAAGGTTCTTGGAAAATTACTACTAGTGCATCATCTACATCTATTTCCTTTAATGCCTCAGGATGCATCCCTTCAGTTCCAGATGTTATATTGGGCTTTAGTCTCATTAGTCTTCTTATTACTTTTACTCAAATGATAGTTATTCTATTAGTTCCTACCTGCTTTTGTCCCTTAATTAATTAGCATTTTCTGGAACGCTATTAGTGTCTTCAACAGAGAAGAGTGATATGAAGCTCTTACCTAATTCCTGTCATTTCCTCGTTGCCAATTATTTTTTCCCAGCCTCATTCTATAAGAGGCCTATGATCATTTTGGCCTATCTCTTCCTTTTTATATATTTAAAGAAGTTCTTTCTATTTCTTTTAATAAAATTTGCTGTTTTCTTCCAGTTTATTTCATGCCTTTTTTGGTCATTAAATTAACTTTATAAAAGTTTCTCTATCCTTTGACTTACTTCTTTGCTGTATTATGATTTTTTTTCTTTCAATTTGATTCTCTGCTTAACTACCTCAGTTAACCCTTCTTAGATTATGTACCCAGAATTACAGATGTATAACATATTCTTATTATTTTTGAGATGTGAATTTAAAATCGAGGCAGATGGATTTTGATCAATTTTGAATTTCTTTTTTAAGTTTACAAAGCTCAACAAGTCATTTGGACAGTGACCTAAATGCATCATTTCGAAGACATATGACGGCAGTCAAGTGCCTGGGTGAACCCCTGTAGGATGAATGGATAACATATTTATACGGTTGAGTTTAGGACAGAAGATCAAACACATTAAGGCAATTAGTTTAAGGTTGACTGCAAAACAGAAGGTTCATGGACACTGATGGGGGAATGACTTCTCAGAGGAAAGCATCAACAGCCAAATTCGTTGCCCAATGACTGGTTCGGCAATGAGGAGAGGGAAGGAGAAATAGCAATAGCGGATTCAATTGTAAAAGGAATACAAAGAAGTTTGTGTGGCTGCAAATAAGACACTGCGATGGTATGTTGCTTCCCAGGTGCTTGGGGCAAGAACGTCTTTGACAGACTACTGGTCATTCTGGAGCAGAATTGTGAACGGTCAGAGGTTGTGATACATATCAGTACCATCAACATGCGTTTAAGAATAAAAAAAAAAGGACGAGCGTCCGAAAGTAGAAAATAGGGAGCTAGGAAGCCAATTTAAAAAGTAGGACCACAAGGTAGTGATCTCAGTATTCTTACAAGTGCCACGTGCTAATCAGCAGAAACAGCAGGATAAATCAGATGAATACATAGACGGACAGATAGTGCAAGGGGGATGTTTTCAGACTCTAGCAACATTTGGACCAGTACAAACTGGACACATTGCATCTGGGCATGGCCAGAATGAATGTACAAGAGGAAGTATTTGCTTGTGCAGTTAGGAAGGGTTTAAACAAAAATAGCAGGGGGATAGGGATCTATTCACGAAAACAGAAGAGAGGGAAACAATGGAAAAAAAACAAAAAGAATAGGAAATAAGGAAAATGCTCAGCAGACAATTCCAGGGCAAGAATCAAACAGGGTCATATTGCAAAATAATGCAAATGCAACTAAAAATGTTATAAAGACAAACCTTAAGGCCTTGTGTCTTTAAGCACAGAGCACTTTCAACAAAGTGGATGAATCAGTCACACAAATAGATATAAATAGGTATGATGTAGTTGGGATTATGGAGACCCAGGGTATTCAATTTCCAGGAAAGACAAAGAGGAGAACGAGGTGGTGTAGCATTGATGCATAAAGAGGACATTAACATAATAGCGAGGAAGGATTTTAGCTTTGGTCAAGAGGAATCTGTATGGGTAGGGCTTAGGAACCTAAAGGGGCACAAACATACTATAAGCTATAAGATATAAGATATAGGAGCAGAGCTAGGCCAATTGGCCCATCGCGTCTGCTCCACCATTTGATCATGGCTGATATGTCTCTCAATCCCATTCTCCTGCCTTTTGCCCGTAACTCTTGGCCCTCTTACGAATCAAGAACGTATTTATCTGTCTTAAATAATACAGTGACGTGACCTCCACAGTCTTCTGCGGCACCGAGTTCCACAGATTCACCACTCTCTGTTTGAAGAAATCCCTCATCTCATTTCGAAAATGTCATCCCTTCAATCTGAGGCTGTGTCCTCGGGTCCTAATCTCTCCTACTTGTGGAAACATCTTCCCAACGTCCATTCTATCTAGGTCTCTCAATATTATGTAAGTTTCAATCTGATCGCCCTCCTTATACTTCTAAACTCCAGAGTACAGACCCAGAGGCCTCAACTACTCTTCATATGACAAGCCTTTCATTCCCAGGCTTGTTCCCACAATCCTCCTCTGAACCATTTCAAAGGCCAGCACATCCTTCCAGGGGCCAAAATCTCTCACAATATTCCAAAAGTGGTCTGACCAGAGCCTTCTACAGCCTCAGCAATACACCTCTGCTTTTGTATTCTAGTCCTTTCAAAATGAATGTTAACATTGCATTTGCATTCTTAACTGCCAAATGAACCTGCATATTAACCTCAAGAAAATTCTGAACAAGGACTCCTAAGTCCCTTTGTGCTTTAGATTTCCCTGTTTAGAAAATCTAAGCTTACTATCAAAGAGCATAACCTCACGCTTTCCGACATTGTATTCTGTCACTTCTTTGCACACTTTCCTAGCCTGTACAAGTCCTTCTGCAACCTCCCTGCCTCATACTTCCTATCCTTCTACCTACTTCTGTCTCACCTGCAAACTTAGCAACAATAGCCTCATTCCATCAACGAGATTGTTCCGGTAATAACGTGAACAACAAAGTGGATGAATCAGTCATACAAATAGACATAAATGGGTATGATATAGTTGGGATTATGGAGACCCAGGGTATTCAATTTCCAGGAAGGACAAAGAGGAGAACGAGGTGGTGCAGCATTGATGCATAAAGAGGACATTAATATAATAGCGATGAAGGATTTTAGCTTTGGTCAAGAGGAATCTGTATGGGTAGGGCTTAGGAACCTAAAGGGGCACAAACATACTATAAGCTCTAAGATATAAGATATAGGAGCAGAGCTAGGCAATTGGCCCATCGCGTCTCAATACAGATCCCTGTCCAACTCCATTAGTCACCGGCTGCCATCCTGAAAAAGACGCCCTTATCCTTCCTCTCTGGCTGACTGACAGAAGGCAATCTCCTATCCACGCCAGTAACTTGCCCCTAACACCATGGGTTCTCATCTTGTTTAACAGCCTCCTGTGTGGCACCTGTCAAAGACCTTCTGGAAATTCAAATTGATCACATCCTAAGGAGTGTAGGTATCTAGTACTCATTACCTAAAGGGTGATAGAGGCAGGAACCACTAAGACATTTAAGATAAACACCTGAAATTCCAGATCATACAAGGCTACAGGTCAAAAGCTGGAAAATGAGATTAGAATAGATGAATATCTGATGATTGCCAAAGAGCTATGGACACAATTGGTCGAAGCATCTCATGTTGTGCAGTAAAATCTTTATGACGCTAAGGATTCCAGCATTTCATCAAGACAACTTTCAGCACCTTCTCAAGCGCAATTAAGGATTCACAATCAGTAATTGCCTTGCCAATGATACCAACAGCCCAAGACTTGAAAGAAAGGATCCATTACGTATTTAGTCACTGGTGAATATTAACTTTTCATATGGTCAGCTACTTCCATCGCTTTCAAAGCATTAATGATTTATCTTCACAAAGTTAAATTGAGTGCCCTAACTTCCACTGGGTTCAACCATTGAGCAGTTTGTAGCATACTCACCTGAGTAAGAAGGTTGTAGTTTAAAGTTTCACTTAAGTGACTTGAACACAAAAACCTACCTGTGCCATTCTCAAAGAGTGCTTCACCTTAAGAGCTGTCATTTTTTGGATAAAATATGAAACATGGGGCTTGCTTGCTATCTACAAAATATTCTGTAGCACTGGTCTGAAGAGCAGCAGTGGAGTTTATTCCCATCATTTGGTCAATGTTTATCTCTCAATCGATCAATCCCTAAAGCAGTATTTGATTATTCACTCCTGTTGTTTGTGGAAGCTTGCTGTGGGCAAACTGGCTTACATATTTTCTATATTACAAAACGATCTGTCAGGCTTGCAGTTTGGCATATCTGCGTGTATTAAAAGCTAAATGCATTAACCCACAGGGCTCTGCTCTTTGTAGACAGAAATTACGTGAGCGCACACGGCCTGTTACAACGTAGCTAAACAGGTGACATCCATTCTCTGGTTCATTTCTCAGAGCAATGTCTTGACCAAAATCAATCTGCCTTGTCTAAAAGTTAAAGCAAACATTGCAGTTAACAGTCAGTCAGTCATCATTACATTCTCCACGGCAACACCTCTACTGATCAGAGTACACTTTCCAAGCAATCAACACTTTCCTAGTATACGGTATAATTGTTGTTTTCCCTTCACTTTGGCATTTCTTGCAAATTTTCCTGATAAATGCAAGTCAAAAAGCTTCAAAAGGGTCTTTTTTACAGCTAAACTCAAGTTCTTTGCTGCCAAACAACTAAAGTAATTACACTTCAATACGTACTTTATGACATCCTTAGGTGGTGAAAGGTGCTTTATAAATGCAACTTTTAAAAAACTAATCAATAATCTTAACTCAACATTGCCCAGTTATCTTCCAGACACACTAGTGCAAGTCTCACCACTGTGAAACCTTTACTCTCTTCACTTCTACTTATTCCCTCAAATGAGAATAAAACAAAAATTAGACAAAATTCAAACAAAGTTTAAGTCACTCTTTGCTTCTACCTAGGGAAAACGAAATATTCACTGTGGCACATGGCCAAGTGATCAAATGATCATGCTAAAGTAGTTTGCAAGTAACCCACTGCTCTCAATATTAGTTTGTAGAGTGTTGCCTACCGCCTTGTTGCGTAGGAGCTTGATTCAGAGTTCCCACAACCTGTAATCCTCCCCAGCCTGGCTCCGTGGAGTCCCCATTTCCTAAATGAACACGAAAGGGGAGAAAAGAAAACGATTGAAGAAAAAACAAATTGGAAACAAAAAGATAAATTAACCTCTGGAGGAGTGAGACAGGTAAAGGAAGGACGCTGAGAACATAAATTTAAGAAATATTACCAAGATTAAGGAACAAAATATGGGGAAAAAAATATTGACAAATCTGAAAGAAAACATAATTAAGATGAAGATTCATGAACAAATGAAGTGAAAGATACCTGAGCGCCCAACTGCCAAAGCCCTTTTAAAGCTACATCTAGACTTCACTAGGCAAATCTCATATCAGCGTGCAACATACTTCCACGAATCCTTCAAGACATTCCTCTTAAGGCCAGTTTTGTCCTTAAAATTCTACCAAGATTTTCAATAGAGAAACACTGCAACATTTCATCTTTAATGGCAAGCAATTCATGAAAAATAAATTGTACTTCAATTCTAACTCGAAAAAACATTCCTTTCAAAGGAGGACTTCCGATTTAAACTACTGAGAGCTATCAATAGTTCTCAGGGTACTTGGCCATCAAAGCAAAGCTGCTTTATCTTAGAATCAGACAACGAGCATATATAAAGTATTGGATAATAGAGACCACTCAAGTCCACACTGAGAAGTGAATGCATTTGTATTCTTTCTTCATGCTCAATATCTGGAATAGTCGGAATCACTCCAGAGCCACACTCTATAAAGGTATGATAGATTTTGAAAGGTGATGACACCTTGGTTAAGCAAGTAACGGACATCCGACTGACGTGAATTCTCAGGCTCAAATCCAACTTGAAGCCAGATCTGATCTCTTAAACATGGCCGACATAAAACCAAATGTACAAGTTCAAAAACTCAGAAATATCTACTGCTTAGTGTTGGATAGCTCAATGGAGCATAATACCACTTCTTCAGCTGTGATTCAGTTGCCAACACGGTCAGCGTTTAAAACATCATGGGTTGAAGTCTTACACCAGAAACTTGACATAATCTAGACTGAGACTCAGCACCACGCTGTGCAAAAGCTGCATTGTCAAAATTACATACTACCTTTCAGATGAGACAACTAACCAAAGACCAAAATGTGCAAGAAAGAGTGGACAAGTTTCCAAAGACACTATTTCAAAGAGCAGGGGTAGTCTCTCTATTGGTTCATCTAATATTTACACTTCAACCAACAGTACTTGAATGGATTATCTACTCATCACATTGCTGTTTGTGGAACCTTGCCACATGCAGTTTAGCTGCTGTGTTTCCTACATTACAGCAGTGACTCTACCAAAAGTACTTCATTCACCAAAAAGCACCTTAGAATAACTGTGAATCACTGAAGCCATGAAAAGAGCTGAAAAAAATAGCAAATACTTGCTTGACTTCAGAATTTTATTACAGTTTTGGAGCAAGAGCTTTGCTATCCAGCCCAGCATTAATTGCGTATCCCTAACTGCCTTTCAGAAGGTATTGGTGAACCACCTTCTTGAACCAATCCAATCTATCTGGTTTAAGTACATCCACAGTGCTGTGGGAGAAACAAGCTCTTAAATTTCACCACAATGACAGTTAAAGAATCACAAAATACCTCCAAATTCAAGATTGGGTTTGAATAAGAAGGGAACTTAAAAATTGTAGTATCCACATGCAGCTGCTGCCCTTATTCATCACTTATTTATCCAGGTCGTACAAGTTGTTGCTTTGGAAGATGCCTGTGAAAGGAGTCTTGATATACTGCTGCAATATGTCTCATAGATGGCATACTGCTGTCCAAGCCAGAATTTGGTCCAGTCTTGCTTCATGTTAGTAAAGACTGCTTCAGTACCTCATACAGAACATCACAATCATTGAAAATCTCCATATCTGACCTTGCATTGCGGGAAAGGTCATTGAAGAACAAGATGGATTAGGCTAAGACATTACTCCAAGGAACTATGGCAGCATTGCCCTGGTGAAGAGATTGGCCTCCACCAACCAATGCCATATTTCTCCATGTTAGGTATGGTGCCATACAGTTGATGTTTGTCCCCATTACCAGTAATTTCAATTTTACTCAGGCTCTTTGGTATTGCTCTTAATCAAATGCTACTTATATTTCAAAAGCAGTATTGTCTGCCTCTGAAATTATGCTCTTTGGTTAAGTTTGGACCAAGACTGCAACATTATCTGGAGCTGAACGACTCAGAAAACTAGATAACACTGTCAAGGACAACTTCCTTCAACTTGCTGATGCAGAATTAATCGGCCAGATTGGAAGGACAAAATATACCTAGACAATTTTCCACAAGTCAGGTCGTTACCAGTCTTGCAGCTTTACTGAAACAGCACATCTAGCTCTGAAACTCAAACCTTCAACATGACAATTGGGATACTGTCAGGACTCAGCAGTTACGCTATTCAATGCTTGTGGTTATTTCTCAACATCATCTGGAGTTAACTGCTTATTGGCTCTTTCAACACCTGCTGGGACCCTCCTGCAGTGCAGTGGCAATGTCCCTACCCCAGACCTGAAGGCGCACGTTCAAGTCCCACCTGTTCCAGAGGTGTGTAATAACATCTCTGAACAGGTTGATTAGAAACAGGTTCAACACCTGCTGCAGTCTCAATTTGGCAAAACCTTTCCTTCAGGACTTGGCCAACTTATACACTGGAGTCACTGAGCCAGTATGAAACTCCAACTCCACCTCCGTGCTCATTGCAAGCGGTATTCAACATCATGGATCACCGATTCAGCTGAAAGAGGGCTGCTGTTGATAATCAGCACAGGCTTTCCCTGCTTGTGCTTGACTTGATGACATGAAATTTTGGGGGTCTGAAATTGTTGTGAGGACTCCTAGGGGCAGCCTTTGCAAAAATGCACTGCTGTGCCACCACCTCTGCCGGATCTGTGCCGTCAGTGGAATAGGACATTACCATGATGATCATGATGGAAGGAATACGAGATACTGACTTTAAATGTATGATTTCGTGAACATACATTGAGCTGCGACTTGACCAGTCTATGGACAGCTTTTCTAATTTTGGTACAAGTCCCTGTGTTCAGCGGGGATGATGATACAGTGTCAAAGAAAAACAGCAGCCATTTCTAGCACCTAGATTAGCGCTAGGTTGTCTGTATGATTTTTCAGTTACTTGGTTTGAATCCAGCCCAGATTGGCAAAATGAAATTCCCAATTTTTTTGTAGTTTAGATTGCAGTTTTAAATAATAACACGTCAATAAACTTTCTTACTCAGGGACTTCAAGGATGGGTGCTGTAAGAAACAAAAACAACAGGGGGAGCTGTTGATACTTGCTTTAGGGAATTTCTTGCAGCAGTCTAGATAGATTTACACTATTCACCAATTTCTATACATTAATTCGGTGACTACAAAGTGATAGTTATGCCGTGATAGTTATGCCAAAAGGAGTGAAATGTCCCAATGCCTCATAAATGACAGTGACATTCACATTAACTATAATTCCTTAGTCACCATAACCAAAGTTAAGTATTGGTAAAATATATTATTTTACATAACTGAGTTTCAATACATCAGTACTGTCTTCTGAAACCAATGACTCATAGCACAGGGACAAAATGTGTTATGGACTAAAACACAAACCACAACTAACATTACAGAGTCATCAATTGAGATCCACAGCGCAGTAAAGGCCCTTCAGCCCATCGCATCCACATTAGTCAAAAATAACCACCTGACTATTGTAAGTTGATTTTTCAGCTTGGCTCATAGCCTTGTATGCCTTGTCATCAGAAGTGCCCATGGGATTTCGAAATCACAATTAAAAATGTAACCCAATATATAACATTACAGACTTTAATGCTGTTCTATTTCACAAGGCTTGTGGATTTTTACACAAGTTTAATAAAGGAAATTCATCTAAAGTTTGCAAAACTAGCACTGGCAACACTGAATCATTTTGGCCTTAAGACGACCCTACTGTGGGTCTTTTTTTTTGGGCAGGGGCATGTGGTTTGGAGATAATAGGTTTAAAAAAGTGTTAATACATTAAAGCCATTGTTTAACTAACTGATCTACTTCAAGTGCTGTTGTAATGAAAATGACTGTGGCATGCTTTGTTAAAATTAGTTTCTCAATACCTTGTGTCTCTACAGATAATGGTAGGTATTATACATGTGTACACTGTTAAGTGCAACAGAAGGAATGTATCAGCAGAGAAGAAAAATCAGTGAATAATTGTAGTTTCACTGATTACTTTCAGTAATCCTATACTCCTGCAAAACCTTCCCATATCCCACAGTTATTTCCCTCGCTATCATGGTTTGACAATCTCTTTATCACAGCAGTTAAGTGTACCATATGAAATCATGGAGACAGTAAGGACTGCAGATGCTGGAAGTTAGAGCCAATAAATGTGGAGCCGGAAAAGCACAGCTGGTCAGACAGCATCCGAGAAGCAGGAACGTCAACATTTCCGGCTGTGCTTTTTCAGCTCATATCAAATCATACCTATTGAAATCCCAATGGTGCTACATGCCCCAAGACCTTCATTTAATCTCTGCCAAGACTAATCTGCATGCAGTAGCATTAGTGCCACAACAGGCAAAACAAGTTAAGATTGCTAATGACAAATAATTTATTTAGCCAAATAACCAAATTCAAAATGAGCTGGCAGCAAAGCTTGATGTACTAACAAGCTGCACCAATGAAGGGGGATTTGGGTTCTCACCTTAACCTTCCGCAAAGGATGGTTCCCAGGTAGAGAATCGTGGCAGGATAGTACAATTTCAGGATGGGGACTGTGGGGATGGAAGCGCCAAGATAGGTGCTGATTGAGTAGTTAAGTGTTTTTGTCTGGAAGAAATACAAAGAGAAAAAAGGAATAGAAAAAGGGATAGTGTGAAAATCCAACTCAACAAGTCGTGTTGAAATTGGCATTGTCAAAGCCCCATAGGGATGTAAGTTTCTCAGTAAGTGGAATACTATTTGGAACAGGGAAAAGAAATCAGATTTAAGTAAGACCAAACAATCATCCACTTCAAAATGACAGATATCAGTTCAATATAAACTCACATTTGTGACCATAAACTTCTGCCATTATTTTGTAAACATGGAGAAAAACTACAGTATTTGCCATATAAATTAATGCTTAGTCATTAAATATCAAAAATAGATCTAAAAGTAAGCTTTCCAGCATCAAAACTATGCAGAATGTTTAAAAATTATTTATTCACAGACAGATCTATTAAACTTTGCTAACTAAATCAAGAGTTGCAGAAGATTACAGTAAGCAATGGCAAGCATTACAATTTGATTACAAAAATATCAACAGTCCCTGGATCACCAAGATACTTATTGCATTTTAGGGACTTTGCATCTGAAATGAGAACATACCAAATATCTTGGTTCCATCTGAGAAAGGCTAACATTTGAAGCCACATTAATGAAGCATGTCCAGTTGAAACAAAGTTGCCATGGCTAAACACCAACTCTTACTTAGCTTATGAGTTTAAAGATATTGACTACCTGAACAGTTTGATAGCAGAAACAGAGGACCATCCAATGCCAATTAAACTGCAGCTGAGAATAAATTTAACAACTTCCATAGCAAAAAAAAATCTTTTTCTTATAAAAGCAAGGAAAAAAATTAATTTCACCAAAACATCCAGTTCACACAGCAGTATGTATCAAGGATCGAAACAACTTTTTCCTCTCAAACATGGATGATGTAATTGCGCAACCCCTAAAATACTCTGCCGTAGCTAGATACGATGACAACTTAAAAACAATGCACTATTGCTCAGCTTCCAGGTTGAATCCAGAGGTCATCTATTTACGGATTGTCAAACTGACTGCAATAGCTAAACATCAATTTCAAGATCACTTCAATAATTCAGCAAAAAAAAAATCAATTCAATATAACAAATAATTGCTTGGTAGTAGAGTTTAAACATTGCTAAAAGGACACAAGAAACCATTGCTTTTTCATCATGCACTCATCAGGACTAGGACGCAAAAAAACTGATTTGAAAAAAGGGTCACCTGTTTATACAGACTGAAAAGAGGGTGCTGATTTGTTGGACCATCATCGGTTGCATCTCCACACCAATTCTGTGCCTGCTCGAGACTTAATATTTTAGTCTAAGCAAGCACAATGATAGACAAACTTTGTCAGCAAGCCATTTGATTCTCCCCAGTGTGCAACAGGTCTGTATTCAACAACTGAACAAAGCATCCTCTATTTATTCTGTAATGGATATTACAGAAGAGTATCAACCAACAATTTTAAATCCAAAAAACAGACACGTCAGCATTCTTCTTCATATCAACTTCACTTACCATTAGCTGCACTAAGACAAGATTTATTATTGCCACGAACTTTATTGGTCAATTCCTCTGTAATGTCCATATGCCGATGAATTTCATCACGCATTTCTTCCAGTATTCTGCAGAGGTCATATTCCCAGTATTCTTTGTCCAAAGATTCAATGAGTTCAGCCAACTGTACCTTTGAACTGTAATACCATACTTTCTTATCCTTTTCATCTTCTTTATCTTCTTCACTGTAAGAAAAATACATCAAATCATATCAAGAAGCGTTCTATGGCATTCAGGCTGAGTTGCCAGACACACAAAAGGATGGTTTGGCTACATTAGGTCAGAATGAAGCAGCAGCCTTAAGTCACATTATCACAGTAGTTTTCCTCCCCAAAATGTATAAATCTGGAGAGGTATAAAGTGATTTTTTTACTTGGATCGATCAGAGTTGAGATTCAAACTTCGCTAACAAAATCAAAACAGCAAATGTTGATAATCATCAGCAGATGTAGCAACATTGATGGTAAAAGGCAGCTAATGTTTCAGGTTGTTGACTTTTTATGTGAACTGTTCTGACCAGTTCTGACAAAAGTTACCCATCTGAAACATGAACTGTTTCTCCATTGATGCAGCTAAACGAGTGAATATAATCAACATTTCTTGTTTTTATTCAGATGTTGGAAATGTGAATAATTTACTTTTGTACAGTCACCTAATTTTTACTGAGTTCTTTGAACCATAAGGCAGAGGAGAAGTTTGCCCATTCATCCCATTGAATCTGCTCCACCATTCAATGAGATCATAGCTGATCTCAATCCTGAAATCCACTTTCCTGCCTTTTCCCCAAAGCCCTCGATTCATTAGCTGATGATAAATTTCTCAGCTTGAACATACCCAATCATCCAGCCTCTTTCACACTCCACAGCAAAGAATTCCACAGATTAACTACCTAAAGAAGAAACTGCTCCTCATCCCTTTCTTATATGGCTGACCCCCTATCCTGAAGTTATGGCCTCTGGTCCTAGAATCAAAGAAACAACCAGTCCGCATCTACTCTATCAGATCTTTTATATTTTACTAAGGTCACCTCATTCTTCTAAACTCCAATGAGTACAAGGCCAATCTACTCAACTCTTCTCATAAGAAAATCCCTCCATATTCTGAATCAACCTAGTGTACCTTCTCTGGACAGCCTCCAATGGCAGTATACCTTTCCTTAGGCAAGGGGATCAAAACTGTTCGCAGTATTCTAGTATCTTGCATAGTTTCAGGAATATTTCTTGATTTTCATATTCCATTTCCTTTGAAAGTATGGACAACACTCTACTTGTCTTCCCTACTACCAGCTGAACTTGGATGTTTAACTTCTTGCAATTTATGCATGAGCACTCCCAAATACCTGTGCTAAAACTTTCCACAGTCTTTCTCCACTTAAATAATATTCAACCTCATTATTCTTCCTGCCAAAGCACATAACCTCTCATTATATTCAAATTTTCAAGTTTTTGACCACTCGCTGAATCTGTTAATATCCTTCTGCAGACTGTGTCTTCCTTCTTACTTGGCTTTGACCTATTTTTGTGTCATCTGCAAACTTGGCTATTGTACTTGACCCAAGTCATTAATCTAAATGTTGTAAATAATTATGGCTCCACAATTGATCCCTGCAGCATTCTAATAGGTACAGGCCACCATCCTGAAAATGCTTCCCTTAGCCCAACTCTCTGCTTCTATTAATTAGTCGATTCTCCATCCATGCTAATAGGCTATCCCCAACACCAGAAGTTCTTATCTTCATAAGTAGCCAAACTTAAGTAGCACCTTATCAAATGCCTTCTGAAAATAGAAATATCCTACATCGCTTTATCTATCCTGCTTGGTACCTTCTGAAAGAATTCTAGTAAATTGGTCAGACATGATGTCCCCTTCATGAAGCCTTGCCTACTCTGCTGGATTATTGTATATGTTTCTAAATGCTCTGCTATTACATCCTTTATAATAGACTCTAATATTTTCCCAATAATAGACATTAAGATAACTGGACTACAGTTATACTTCTTTATAAACATCAAGATTTATCAAGCCTTCCAAGACTACTTAAAAGCAGACTGGGGAAAATAGTTGTTTCCCACCTCCAGCGGATGTCAAGCACGCAGATGTTCGGACAGAACATGAATAGATTCAGCTAACATGTTGAAAGCTTTTTAGCCTCTTTGGTTAACATAGGTAGGTTTAGCAAACTGCGTAAATTTTAAACCCCAGATGTGAGTTTCAAGTACTTAACCTCCGAAAATATATTGCTGAACTTTTTAAACACAGAAATTGTATACTAAGTTTAGCCTCTTGCTGAGACCCAGGTACATGCATCTAAACGAAAACAGTTTCAGCCAATGTGACATCTTCCAAAGTCAAGGATAGATTTCTTTTCCCCCCAAGTTATGGACTTTGGAGATATATTGTATTGTGTACAAAGTACATTTTTTAATCATCAAGTAGGGTTCTTTTAAGTTCAACAGGAATAATATTGAAATACGTTATGTTAGGTATTTTTCCACCAATTGATGCATTGTAATGCTGGACAAAAGTCACATCTACCCTTCCCCACACTTAGTACCTCTGCGACAAGTAAATTTGATTTTGGAACAGTGGTCTGAAGCCATAATCTTGTTGTTGAGGAGAATGTTTCCTATAATTGATGTGCTAGGATTCCTTAATTACAAAAAATTCTGAATGTGGTTATTGAGAAAAAGACTTGACTGAAGTCTAAAAAGACAGACACACTGAATAAAATCCTTCACTGAATATTAAACAGAATTTTACTGTAATGAGAATGCCAGAAACTACAAACCAGAGGCAGCAGGAATTTCCCTGGGCTTCTTTACAACTTGAAATATCTCCCATAATTTTGGCATAAACTTCAGGGTGCATAAATAAGGATTCCGTTGATTCAACTGCAGCCAAAACAGGAGAACCGGAGGATAATTCTGTGACAGATTTGCAGCAATTCTTTATGTTATATATTCACTCATGAATTCTGAAAGTGTCACCCATGTAGAACACATACACCGTTGGTGCCACACTCTAAGAACTGAAACTGTAAGATAAACATCATGTAACAACTACAAATTTTTTGTGGGCAAAAAAGCCCTCTTCATTTCACGCTTGAAAAATGAGATAACACCCATGTAGTGAGGCCTCATCCATAAATTCTCCATAGCATCACTTTATCCTACCAACTGTTTTAGCTCTTTATTTTTGCAACTTGACAAATTTCGATTATGGTGCATTCCTCCTCTCCTGTCCATTTGGAATATAGGCTCGTAAATTTTCTCCCAACACTCCACCTCCACGTTATTTAATTTCCCCTAGCTCTAAAAGCCTTCCTGAAATCTCTTCAGCCTTACCTAAAACACTAACTTCCTGTTAAGGACCTTCAAACACTTACAAACATGTCTGGTAGATGCAAATGCTTCATAGATGGAAAGCAGGAGTTGTTTTTTTAAGTACTGTGATAATGTTTAATTGCCCAGTCTAAGGATACCAATAACACCCTCAATGAATTCCCAACAGCAATGTGCTACATAACAAGTTTGTGAATCTGGTGTTACACACAAGTAGATTAAATATACTGAAACTCCACAGGATCAACAGCATTTCACACACTGAAAACACAAATTATTCATTGCAGCCACTTGTTTTGCACCTTTATTTGCTACAACATTGGTCTTAAAACAATTTCATAGCAAAGCAGAGTGTCAGTATAACAGTAAAAGTTGCACAGCAACATGTCATGCATTCACTTCTGAAGATTTTTCACACCTGTTGTAAAAATGTATTTTACATTAACATTGCAAACCACAGAACACTGAAAATTTACATGTAAAATTACCATACATTTTATTTAAATTATCTTATGCAGAAGTCAACAAGCTGATAAACCTACCAAGTATCGCCTATGTTCAAAGGTTGTACTGTTGAAGGATATGGCTAGAGTGAATGTTACATCTTCAAAAGATGTAGCTTCATTCACATTACACCCATCTTGTTATATACCATGAATGCTTTTCTTTCCTCCTTAGTTCAATTTACCAGAGAACCCACAGAAGTTCTATGATGCTCATTCCTGGGAAATTCAGTGGCACCAAACTTCAAGATAAATGCACCACATAATGCATGCAACAAGTATAATTCGATTGTTTGCATGTTTTACTTACCCATTAAATTCCTGCACTTTTAAAGGTGTTAGATTGGGTTTGCATGCACTCTGTGCTTCTAATGAAGAAAAATGTCTCAAGATGTTTCAGAAAAGCAAGGAAAATCGTGGAGACAGCCAAAATTGGAGATATTGATGTTGAGGGGATGGTAATTGTGCCTTGGTCAAGGAGATGATTTTCAAGGAGTATCTTACACTGCACAATCAACACAGAATGACAGAATCTCTGCAGTGTAGATTGAGGCCTTTTGGTCCATCAGGTCTGCACTGACCTTCTGAAGAGTATACCACCCCCATCCTATCCCAGTATTTAAATGACTAAAGAAATAAAACTAAGAGCAAGAAAAGCCAAAGAGGGTCCATCAGACTATTTAATATATAAATGCAGTAGCTACTTTGCGCAAAACAAGATCTCCTTAAACGAATGTTCACAATTGAATCGCATTGGGTTTGACTGAGGGGAGGATTGTTGAAAAGATACGACCACTGCAGAGACTTTTTTTAGTGGAAAAAGGATCATTATTTAAAAACACCAAATTACAGTGATATCTGTTATGATCAAATAATTTGCCAGTATTTAACAATCAAACTAATAGTCAAAGACTCACTACTTACTCTAAGCGCCCGCAAGTCTATGAAAAGTGACAACCCAATCTTCAAAAAGGAAGAAAGTAGTATATGCATTAATTTTGTCTGAAAAAGAACCTTGGATTTTTAACTTTCGGTGCAAGTATCAGTACTACAATCAATGCAAAGTTTAAACAAAAAAAGCTTAATTATTTGTTAAAACATTACAATTAGTTTTGGAGGGAGGAAAAGAGAAATGCAAGACTCATCTCTCCATTCACTCCCACATCATTTTGCAATACAATTCCTCCAATGCTGCAGTTTCAAAGTACTTTACCAAAGAGGCCAGTACAAATATGATGGTCCCGACAAACAGCAGCAGGAAGCCAATGAACTGTGGTAAGCACTCAACACCCCTAAATGCATTTGCAAGTCAGGAGCAGAAAACATTTCTTTCCCATTCTC